ATACAGGGTGTTGCATTCAAAAAATATCAACATTGGGTCATATCTCAGAAATTGAGGTTCAAACATTTTTTTACTACGTCACTACGCATCAATGCACTGCATACTCCGGGCTTACCACCCGCACCGCATTATGATTAAAAAATTATTACGTATAATGTATTGTCAAATAAAGCTGGGCTATTATTCGTAATCAGGAGACGCATTCACCTTTGTTTATGAAATTATTATTTTTCATAGTTTGCGCAATCGCGATTTTGACTATTTCAGGTCTTGGTAAAGTGTCTATAAAACATATATGTACCAAAAATTTGGTTCAATTCGATGCAATAGGTGAGTCATCATATGGAAAAAACGCCAAAATTGACAGTTTTTTTGTTACTTTGACACTTTACCCTTTACTAAAGTGCGGGTGGTAAAAATACCTAGAAATAAATGCACGTTCCTTGCACTGCGGTTGACCAATTTATTCTTTCAAATTCTAATAAAACAACTCTTTATCTGGGAAATAATTTTGAACCTCTAAATTGCGACAACGTTAAATTAAAATGTTTAAATTACTCAAAACTCCAACAGTTTCAAAAACTTGAAACCCTCACTTTATAACGGAATTTCGAAAAAAATTAAGAGTACATTTATAGCTACAGTTAGAGGGTTTTAGAAAAACGGGACCACGGTATAGGCTTTGCATTTCCAGTATTCGTTGTAAACTTATTACACAAAATTGCTAGATGCGCTAAAATAAGGTTGTATTGCGGTATATATTGACAAACAGACAAAATTTGCATAAAATATGGCTATTTATTGGCAATGAAAATAATGTTTTAACATTTGTATCTCATTTTCTTAAGTTATTGTTATTATTCTATTATTATAGTAAAATTTGTGGACTGTTAACACCCACAACAGCTGTTGTATAGACAAATGAGAGATACACATGACAATTCCATAGTTTATTATTTGGTTTATTTTTGCTGGGTCACTTCCAAATTAAATTTGATTCAACTATAGATTTCATTTATATTCCGTTTACTACCATGATCAAAGACAATTCAATTTTAAAGCCGCATCCGTTATAATTCTCATCGGCTCCCCTACGTGGAATCTAATATCTAACTAACCATTGCTCAGCATATTTAAACAAAAAGGGCTTAATTCAGTTCCCATTTGGAGAATGGCTTCGTTTCTCTTTTATTAGAGAAACTAAATGAGAGTTGTGCAAATTTGAAATCGTTGCAGTAGTTCTAGTTTTCTATCGTTGACCATAACGGAAGATGGTATTACACATCTTTTCACATACTGAGAACTTCTCTATGTCATATAACATATCTCAATCTGTCTAATTTTCCGAGTAAGTACATGGCTTGTTACTGTACAAACGCGCCATTATAACAAGACATTGAATCATGTAAATATTTATAGATTATTGAGCTTCTATTTCCAGACCGGAGGTTACTAATAATTCCAGTTCATATAAATATAGTTCGCTGGGGAGCAAATTCTTTCTCTTGATTAATTTATTATTTATATACATTGTAAATGTGATTACAACAACTTATGAAAGTTGAATGTCGAACAGTTAAAGGTCGTTTCTAGGGATGTGGATTTTAAAAAATAGTCGATATGAATTGAAGATTGATTCAGGAGCGATTTATCCAAATGAGTTTACTGAAAATGACCAAATCTTCACCTTTCTTGGTGATTTCGTTAGTTCGCCCTTCCTGATGTGTTATTTGAACTACTAGCACCAAAATTTAACTTGAAAATAGCACTGGCTACTTTCTCTATAGACTGCAACCATTCTTCTATAGATATTCGTCGAGTCAATGCCTTTTTTTTCATAAAAATGACACGCCAGTATCTTGTTCAAGTTTTAAGTCACACTTTTTGCTTTTTTACACTCAAATAAAAATGACTGCAACCAGACGAAACTATAAAATGTTACAAAAGCTTGACGCAAGGAAATTCCCACGATACATAACTAAACAATTCCTCTGGGAATTCAAATTTAATAATAACAATAATTTGGTTTATTCCCTACACCTGTTACGTAACTAAGAATAAAAGATATAACGGTACGGTATCTAGATAATTTAATAATTAGCACCGCGCATTTAGGGTAAATTATATTTAGTTTGTGGATAGTGCTGCATTGTGGGTACGATACCCATTACATCAACGTCTTCTATTGGCCAATTCCTAAGAAATTTTCGGTAGTTGTTTGTAACAGGTTGTCTATGTCGCGATCTTTTACTAACAAGGTGGACATTATTATTTGGGCGTAAAGGAAAATTAAAAAATAATCATTTAATTGTTTTTTCGTAATAACAACGCCCGCCGTACTTCGCAGCAGAAGTGGAGAAGTAACTGCAATCTTGACATACCCCATACTCACGACAGAGCCACCGTTACTTTCATGTCAAGACGAGGAACGTTTCGTGGCACTTTGGAATCTGGGTAGCAGCCGGTGTTAAAACTGGCGGGTTTTATTTATACACAAATGAGAAAGGAATTTGAATACAAACTCATAATTTTGTGCGTAAGATAAGACGAGAACATATAAAACATAATACGCACACAACCAGGCAATGTCAGGGAAACCTTCTTCGGGACAAAAACCCCGGTATACAGGAACTACATTAAAAAAGACAACAAATCTACAAAACATTTCAAATTGTGTAACATTAAAAATTAGCTCACGATTTTCAGGGTTCTAGGAACGCCATATTGTTTCCAAAAACATCAACGTGTATAGTTCCAATTAGTGGTTGACCTTGTTCACCGATCTTCCTATTTTCGTCCTGGTAAAAATCGAACCACAGCCTTTTTATCGAAGACGCGTTCCTTTCGGACCTCTCCAGGAATTTTAAAATGACGCAGGCGCAGGAATAAGATTAGAAATAAGTTGTTTACTTTTTTTTGGTAAACCCGATGGCATTTTTGGGTTATACAACTTCTGGCGTGGAAGTGGGACTTACGGAAGTTATACTTCTATAATCGTTTAGAAACTAACGTATTGTTTACGGCTCATGTAGCAAAACACGATAAAATAATAAAAACGGTAGCAATCAGTTGCCAAATTTGATGTGTCGCAATGTAAACATGAACCACCACAATTTCGATCGACAGGCAACTTGAAAACAATCAGTCCAACATAAGCACGTAATTCCAACGTTTATTGTGGTTTAAAAATGATTTTTTTTTGTTAATGTTGGTATTACAATATTCCCTAAAAACAGAATTGATGACGTGCGCATAAACTAAGGAAAATCCTAATTGACCTAGGTACTAAATTCCATTTTTAATGATGTCCCTCTGTATGAAACTGAGAGTATTTTACATAGCTAAATATATGGTCTTTGAATCATCCTTATTTACACAGAAATATAATGTACAATATCCTTATCAAATATCAATAGATAGTAAACTTGTTAATTAAAGAGAGGATAAAAAACGACAGCCAATATTGGTTTCTCATTACTATTTGATGCTCAAAGTTATCCGTTTATTACTAAGTATAAGTTGTCGCCCAACAAATCTACCAAGTTTGATTAAAATTTCCAATCCTTCTTGATGTCGCAATTCGTATGCCACCAAGTATAGACAGCTTTTGATTACTTGCCAGTGAATAGTTATCCAATACGTCGTATAAAAAATTGATATATGAAATATTACAAAGGAAGTAGTAAATACGTAAAAAACTTCTGTAAGTATACTTCGCCTATCTAACACCTGAGCCTTAAAATTATAAACGTCATAAACACCATAAATATTAACAACCTACCCGAAGATGACGCAAGAACTACTGCACCTTTCAGCTTCTAATTACGTCGCGCGAAATTGATCGGCACGTCGAAGTAATGACGGCAAATCGCATGGTAATTTGTTAAAAAAGTGTAAAACGTTAATCGTCGCTCAAGTTTTCGTTACGGTCGCTTTAAAAAAACTCGTTAATTTGAAAGACGTGCCGAAAGTCGTGTAATTTTCTGTGATTTCGGGCCGTATAGGTCACTTATGGAGCGGGTTTTCAGTTATCTCGACGATTATCTCGCAAATAAACCTCGTAATTGATGGCGGGTCCACTGTTAAATGGCGTGTCGAAAACTTTCTTTCAGCTTGTTGGCTGCTGGAAAAGTCTCCTACATAGCAATAGTCAATTGCGGGGGTTGTAGTTCTTGTTGTGCATAAAAAATTTTTGTTTCTTCGGCAGTTTCTGTTTAAAGGGCTTACAAACAGAAAAAAATCCCCTTCCGTTTTAAAATATAATTTTTAAGAGAATTCTCTCTATCATATAGCAATACTCAATTGCGGGGGTTGTAATTTTTGTTGTGGATCAAATTTTTTTGATACTTTGATAGATTTTATTTAAAGGACTTAGAAACCATCCTACAATTGACACCTAAAGATTAAATTCCCTTCCGTTTTGAAATTTCGTAATTTGTGAGGGAATTCAGTCGTTCAGGTATTGAAAAGAAAGGTCTCCTATTGTTTTTCATAGAAAATCAAATTTATTCACATCTTTTCGTATATCGTTGGAAAGGTTGAACATGTAGCTATTTTTCTATAAAGTCGCATTGACGATAAATCCAGATTTTTAGTGCCGGAGTCGTAACCCTCTCCCGTGTCGGCGTGTTTCCAACTGATAACGACTGCTTCTTGACTTGAATTTCTGTCCCCTAAGCTGTTTTTTGAGAGTGGGAAACAAGTGGTAGTCGTTGGGAGCAACGTCCGGGCTGTAAGGAGTGTGGTCGATGATATCCCACCCGAATCCATTGAGGGTGGTCGTTTGATGTAACACATGTGGACGCGCACTGTCATTATGTAAACACACCCCACATAGCATTCGATATCTTATGTATACACATTTTAAATCCATAATGTACAGGGAATATCCTGTCCATCTTATGTATATACTATGTATATTCATTATAGGATAGGCATATGTATTTTATGTTCAGTATGGATATTCTATAAATATACATTTTGGATGTGCTATGTATTGTTGTGTAAACTTCCTAAGCCTGAAAGATACCCACACAACTTCCCCTTACTAGCTCAATCCCACACAAACTCTTAAAAACACAAATCTCAGGGCCCGTAAAATGAGTCCGACCACCCCTTTTCTTCGTCCGGACAAGGGGTAGCAACCTCGCCAGGTCGGTGGCTAATACCTCCCTTAAATTCCAATATGAAACTTCACCCCCAGATTTAATAAACTTGAAACAAAGTAAGAGACGCCGACAATTACCTCTCTTTGACTCTAATAAACAAAACCTGGATTGCAATGACTGGTTTAATTTCAGACAAAAAAAATTGCGTAAATTTCTGTTTTACAAATTGTTACAATTTTAAACAGATAAATGACACACACAAAAAAAAACAAATTACTCAAACATTACAAACAAAACAAGACAAAACAAACCACTAACTACTACTTACTTTTAAAATTAGTCCGAATAACGTACTCCGATAAAAAGAGGTATCCGTACACAATCACGCAAACCAAACACTCAAACACCGACGTCTTCTCTCTTCGGGTACCCACAATTATTTTCAAAACTTCCGTGTTTCCGCAAAATAAAAAAAAAAAACAGGACAGCGACAAACTTCTTAAACTTTTCAAAAATTCTTCTTAAACGGCAGACAAAAATTCTAACTAAACCTGGATCCACTACGCAAGAAACTTCCACAAAATTCAAAAAATAACGTAACCGAAGAAGCGCCGGTTGGCTTTGTAACGACCAAAAAGCCCCGCTCTCATCAAAATTTTTCTATTTAAGCCAAAAGCCCTTCTCCTTTCTTCAACATCCCGTCCGCCAATCACGCGAAGCGTCGATTTTTCAACTTCTTGCTAAACGGCACGTACGCCCGGCAATTCTGCGAAGACAACCTTATCTCTACTTCGCGCTATACCTCGTTAACGGCAAATAAAAATTTAAAAAGAAATTTACATCGAAAAAAAATTCTAGGAATAAAATAAAAACAGAACACTTCTAAGAAATTGAACCAAAACTATAACATGAAATTTACGCAATCCTGTGTCTCAAATTATTAATAACCCCCCGGTTAATTAATTGAACTAAACAAAATTGTCACATCCAGACGCTCTATAATTTCTTTCAAGTTACAACTAAAACAAAATAACACAACATTTTTCCCCCTTTAAATTGAACACAAAAACACAAAATTACAATCCTCCCCTGACTACAAATAAAAAAAAACTTTGGAATTACCGGGTTTTTATGGGCAATTTAACCAACCGACCCTAACACGCGAGCCGCCCTGTCCAGATTCAAAAAGGTGCCGCCCCCCACCTCCGGCCTGAGATCCCTATCGTCCCTAAGTAAAACTTTAAACCCACACTCAAAATCTAACACCATTCTAGCAAACGCCAAACATTTACGAAGCTAAGCTTCTACTAACGATTACTCAACCCCTTCCTCTGAGTCATCATCATAACGAAAAAGCATGTCTACATGAAATTTACCCCTTATTTTCTCAGAATCCCTTAACTGGTTTACACAAACTACTAGCTCCTTTTCTATTTCTTTCTCCCCTAACCCGTTCCTAGATAAAATGTCCGCAATTAAATTATCCTTCCCCCTTATGTACTCAATTTTAAAAGAAAATTCCTGAAGAATGAGACTCCACCGGTATATCCTGTTGTTCGCAAAACGAGTTGACATTAAATGAGTTAAAGCCCTATGATCTGTCTCAATAGTAAATTCTTTCCCTATAAGGTAAAATTTTAATTTAGTTACACAATAAATCACCGCTAACATTTCTTTTTCAGACACTGAATATTTCAGCTCCGGTCCCCGTAATACCCTAGACACAAACGAAATAGGAACTTCTATTCCTTCCTGATATTGCACTAACACCCCCGCAACGGCCCCATCTGAAGCGTCCGTTCTCAACACAAACCCTTTTGAAAAATCCGGGTGGTATAACCTGATTCCTTTACATAATTCCGCCCTCAACTTTTTAAATGCTTCTTCTTTCCCTTCATCCCATTTAAATTTTACCCCTTTATGTAATAACCCGACTAACGGTAATGAAATTTCTGAATACCTTGGTACAAATTTCCTATAATAATTTAACATCCCCAGAAACCCTCGTAATTTCCTAACATTTGTTGGTCGTGGAAAATTATTAATTTCATCCAACCGGCTATTTTCTACTTCCATCCCAATTTTATTTATTTCAAAGCCTAAAAATTTAACCCTTTCTTTTATAAATTCGCATTTCTCTATGTGTAATTTCATTCCATTCCTGTTCAATTCCCACAATATTACTTGAATGTGATTAAAATGATCCTCTAACGTGTCACTAAAAATGATTATGTCATCAACATAATGTAGGCAAAATTTATCGAATTTATCGAGAATGCACTGCATTGCTCTAACTAATGCTGCGCACGAGCTGGCTAGTCCAAATGGAACTACCTTAAATTGATACGTGACACCATCGACACTGAACCCTGTAAATTTTCTAGAATTTCTTTCTAAAGGAATTAGCCAAAACGAATTTTGTAAGTCTAATTTCGTAAAGATTTTATTCCCCCCAATTTTCCCTAATAAAGACTCTATTTTCTGGGGCGATTCTAACTGAGGTGTTGTCCGTCGGTTAAGTTCGCGCGCGTCTAAACATAAACGAAGCGAGCCGTTCTTCTTCTTCACGATGACAAGCGGGTTGATAATGTTAGTTGTGGCCTTCTCAATTATTCCGTCTTCGGTCATTTTCGTTAACACGGTTCTTACTTCATTTCGATAATGGAAAGGCACCGAATACGTTTGGATTTTCCCCATTTTCCTATCATCCACTTGCAACGTGTGTTCGTAACCTCTCGCCATTCTCACTTCGTCATTGATAAGTTCACGATTTTCCTTCAGTATTCCTGTTACCTTTTCCGACCACTCTTCTGGGCAATTTAATTTTGACATTTTCCAATACTCCTCATTCCCCCATTTCTGACAAACGTTAATTTCCATTTCGTTATCCGGGTCTTTCTTGATCTTTTCGTCTTCTATTTTCACTTCTAATTTTCCTATTCTTACATTTCCTTTTCCTATATCCACAATTCCATCATACATTTTTAAAATGTCAATCCCGATAATTAAATCCGCCTGCATCCCCGCTAAAACCAATAATTCTTCCTGCAGCCGTTCACCTCCTACTTCAATCCCTAAAATAAATTTTCTTTTGACGTTGGCGAAATTTTTCTTATTTGCCGTTATTAATTTTAATCCTTTAATGGGTACGGTAAAACTCTCCACTCTTCCTAAATTTTCTTTAATGAAATCTTCTGAAATTAAAGAAACTTCCGCCCCCGTGTCAATCAATGCCTTGGCCCTTTTTCCTTCCACCAGCACCCCTATTGTTGGTAAATTGGTAATGAAGTTGTCCGATTTGTCTTCCGCACTATTGTCGTCAATTTGAATAAATTCTTTCGGGTGCGAGTACACGTATCCGACAATAGCGCGGCCTCTTAAAAATCCGTCGGTGGTGGATGGACTTCGGCTCTAACCACTTCTATTTTGTTTTCCTCTCCGGTGTCCCGCGTCGGTTTTAAAATCTGGTTAATACGTCTCCTGTCCTGTTCTGCATTTCCCTCCCCTCGTCTCTCTTCTCGGGCTCCTCTTGCATAATCCGGTCTTCTCTCCTGCTCCCTCTGGTCCTTCTGATATTCCCTTTCGAATTTCTGTTCATAATTAAACTCGCGGTTAAAATTCCCTCTATTGTTGTTATTCCTATTAAAATTCCCATTATTCGCATTCCTGTTATAATTTCCATTGTTGTTATAATTGTTGTAATTTAGGTTCAAATTCTCCATCCGGTTACCCCTTTCTTGATACGCTCCGTATGGTCTGTTTCCTCTCCACTGGTTTCCGTATCCTTGTTTTTCATACTGCCGTCCTTGCTCCCTGATCTTATAATCGTAGGCGGCGTCCTTCTCCTCGTCAGCCGTGTCGTAACGTTTGAGCATCCTTAAAAATTCTTCGTACGTGGTGATGTCGTCCTTCGTGACCTTCTGGGAAATCTCCTCTTCATAATGTTTTGCCAGCCGCCTTACCAGCACTGATTCCTGTATCCCATTTTCTAGGTGTTTAAATTGTGAATAATTTTCCATCAGGTACTTCACACGGCTACCCCTATTTCGGTTATACTTTCCCATGTTTAATTGGTCCCGTGTTTTATTTTGCTCCCAATCGCCCCAGTATTGGCTTATAAAATTTTCCTTGAATGACTCGAAGTTGGCAATCTTCTCGTCCACCGTGTCATACCAAATCTGCGCGTCTTCCTTTAGAACACTTCTTATCAAGCTGATTTCGTCCACGTTCGTGAATAGTTTCCCAAAAATTCGCCTGTTGTTTAGGATCGTCGCCTCTAAAATTTTTAGAAACGTCATAGGGTGGACTTTTCCCTTACCCGTGAACTGTTCCAGACGATCTAGGTCCCCTTTAAAATTGTTGGCGTACTGTATTCCTCCCTGTCTCGGCTTATTCTCCAATTCCTTCCGTAGTTCTTTTAATTCTTCCTCACTCGTACTTTTATTTTTGTTGCAGACTTCTTGCATATGACAAAATCCCTTTTCAACTTTTTCAAACTCCTGCTGCGTGTAGCTGACCTCCATCCTAATCTGGTTCTCTACCTCCATCACTCGCTTGTTCACCCCTTCGTGATGTTGGTGCAGCACGCTGATGTTCTCGGCCATATCCGTCCTTAATTCTCTAATCTCCCTCGTATTTCCATCGGTCTTCTTTTCTACCTCTCTGACGCTCTCCTGCATGTCTTGCCTAATCTCGTTCATGATTCTCACCACGTCCTGTCTTAATTCCGCTGTCGTTTTATTCTGGTTCTCTATCTTCTTATTTATCTCTTTTATCTGACCGCTCAATTTGTCCCCCAGTTGGTTATTCATTTGCTTATTCTCTGTCCTCATCTCACTCATCATCGTTATCATTTGAGCAAAGAACCCTTCCTGCATTGTCGTTAATCCCATTGTAGAGACCTCTCCTTTTCCTTCCGGCACGTCGACTGACCCCGGTATTATTTCTGCGCTGACGTCCGTCGGTACATCAATTCCACTCTCGGGCTTCGAATCCATAATCTTCTCTTGTTAATAATTTACGCTGTTATAATTATACAAAAATATAACAAATAACCGTCTCTACGCTCGCTGTCACTTTTATTTCTTTTCCAAATCTTATAAAAATTTTTGTTTAACTTCCCTGTCTCTACTCAACTACCCTTCGCAATAACGTTACTACCTAACCCTTTCTTAACCTGTCACAACCAAAAACCTCTTCAAATAATTGCGTTAAAAAAAAATCCTTTAAACTTATCGTGTCGGATACCAAATAAAATCTTACCCGTCGCACAATAAATCCTGCCTACAATGAACTTTAAACTTTCAATAAAAAACAACCTACTTCCGCGTTTCCCTGATGCCTCACGCTATTGGGCGCCAATTAATTTGTTGTGTAAACTTCCTAAGCCTGAAAGATACCCACACAACTTACCCTTACTAGCTCAATCCCACACAAACTCTTAAAAACACAAATCTCAGGGCCCGTAAAATGAGTCCGACCACCCCTTTTCTTCGTCCGGACAAGGGGTAGCAACCTCGCCAGGTCGGTGGCTAATACCTCCCTTAAATTCCAATATGAAACTTCACCCCCAGATTTAATAAACTTGAAACAAAGTAAGAGACGCCGACAATTACCTCTCTTTGACTCTAATAAACAAAACCTGGATTGCAATGACTGGTTTAATTTCAAACAAAAAATTGCGTAAATTTCTGTTTTACAAATTGTTACAATTTTAAACAAATAAATGACACACACAAAAAAAAAAACAAATTACTCAAACATTACAAACAAAACAAGACAAAACAAACCACTAACTACTACTTACTTTTAAAATTAGTCCGAATAACGTACTCCGATAAAAAGAGGTATCCGTACACAATCACGCAAACCAAACACTCAAACACCGACGTCTTCTCTCTTCGGGTACCCACAAATTCAAAACTTCCGTGTTTCCGCAAAATAAAAAAAAAGAACAGGACGACGACAAACTTCTTAAACTTCTCAAAAATTCTTCTTAAACGGCAGACAAAAATTCTAACTAAACCTGGATCCACTACGCAAGAAACTTCCACAAAATTCAAAAATAACGTAACCGAAGAAGCGCCGGTTGGCTTTGTAACGACCAAAAAGCCCCGCTCTCATCAAAAATTTTCTATTTAAGCCAAAAGCCCTTCTCCTTTCTTCAACATCCCGTCCGCCAATCACGCGAAGCGTCGATTTTTCAACTTCTTGCTAAACGGCACGTACGCCCGGCAATTCTGCGAAGACAACCTTATCTCTACTTCGCGCTATACCTCGTTAACGGCAAATAAAATTTAAATAGAAATTTACCTCGAAAAAAATTCTAGGAATAAAATAAAAAACAGAACACTTCTAAGAAATTGAACCAAAACTATAACATGAAATTTACGCAATCCTGTGTCTCAAATTATTAATAACCCCCCCGGTTAATTAATTGAACTAAACAAAATTGTCACATCCAGACGCTCTATAATTTCTTTCAAGTTACAACAAAACAAAATAACACAACAATATACATGGGATTATATGTTATGTATATGCGTTTTGGATTTGATACATGCGTGTTCTGTATTACCGACGTTACAAACGTTAGCGTCTCATTTTCTGTGAATTACGGCGATGAAGATAGTAAGGTGCTATTGCAAATACAGCTCATTTTTCTAAAATCAGGAGTGTTATTCTGCGAGTTATTAATGAGTTTGTTTGTCTAATTTGGACAGTGAAAGTAATGATTTTTATTTCGTGTGTGCATGATCTAAAGTTGCAAATATGTGTTAGTGAGATGTAAAGACTGGATGGGAATTAATATAAGGACAATAATGGCAGGTATGTTAGCAACCTATTTATTATGAACTCCCGCTATTATAGTGTTGAACAAGAACACGATCAAAATGACTCAAGACTACAGTGTTAAATAAAACAATAATAATTTCTTAAGCACATTTTCCATTGTATACTAAGAGACTTAATAAACAAACAGCTCCACTCCGTGAAAAGAATTTATTTATGAAGGTATAGACCAGAGCTGGGCAGAATACTTTCAAAAAGTATTTGAATACTAAATAGTAAATACTTTACACAAATCAAAGGTATTTGAATACTAAATACTTTAACGTCCAGCACAAGCGAATGCTAGATACAGATACATTGAAAAGTATTCAAATACTTTAGAATGCATTCGAATACTTTCAAAGGTATTCGAATACTATAAAAAGTATTCGAATACTTTGAAAAGTATTTCATTAACTTACTTTGAAAAGTATTCGAATACAGTAAAAAGTATTCAAATACTTGTGACTCAAATACATTAAAAATGTAAAATAGTATACTAGATAAAAGTCTTAATACTACTTAAAAATCAAGTTATACTTTGTATGGGGTTAGCTTTTTTATATTTCTATTGTTATATACAAATTTAAGGGGAGTCAAAGTAATAATTTCAAACAGTTCCAAGATTGGGCTACTAGTTCAAAAGTTACAGCCCTTTGAATTTTTTTTCGAAATTTACTAAGTATTTGTGAAAGTATTTACAAATACTGCTTCCATAAAAGTATTTAATTCCAAAGTATTTAAAAATACTTTAAAGGATTTGAATACTAAAAAGTATTTACAAAATCGAATACTGCCCAGCTCTGGTATGGACGCTAGTAAACTTCCCGAATGTTAGAGGAATCTCTATAGAACATCCATTCTGAATGTATACAACATACATAGAATATCCTATTGAACATCTTTTGCATATTACAGGAATATTCATGATATATCCAGTTGTCAGTATACCAATGTACATAGCATGTCTGATGCATATACATGCATATACATAAGACATCCAAAACGTATATACTATGTATTATGTGAAGTCTGACAAACTTATATCCCATGCACATACATCGGACATTTGCGACATACTTTTCCACATTCTATGGATATACAATATCCCACGTGGAATGTACATGGTATATGCAATGTATATAGGTCTGCTATGTGGGACTCCTTTGGTGTCTCGCGTTCCGGAGTTGATTGTTGTTCCTTTCGGTATGAAATCCACCAACAGAACTCCTTTCCTGTCGCCATAACCTTTCCGGCTGACTTGAACTTTTTGGGCTTATTGGGCCGGGTGTCGCCATTGTTGCAACTGATCCTTCGTTTCCGGGGTGTAATGCAGTGCCCAAGTTTAGTCTCCAGTCAAAATCGAATCCAGAAATTCTTCGCCCTCTGAAAATCAAATGCGGTTAAACATCAAAGGCAAAATGATGCAAAAGGCACAAGATTTTACGTTTCGGTATATCACCAAATGCAAAGAAAATCCCCTCTAAATTAAGGGTTTACGAGACGACAGTTTTTTCAACCGACACAGCCTATGCGTTTATCGGCATCCAAAAACTGCAACTTTTTTAATTACGTCCTTCCCAGATGTCTTAAAAATACGGGACCGGTGTCAGATTCACGTTTATTAGGGGCGCAACTAGCGGATGTAATCTCGACTTAAGGCTTAAGGCCCATCCAACTTATTAGGGTTAATTATACTTATCCAAATAGTCGGAATGAAATCTCCAAATTCGGCGGTCCAGCAATGCGCTTTTGTTCCTTGGAATGGGCGGTCAATCGGCTTAATCGGTTTTCACATTGATATTTTCCTTAAACTGCACGACCTTACCGGTACCAATCCTGAATTTTCGTACCTATCCCATTAGAAAACTAAAATCGACTGATCGGTAATTAACGGTGATTGCAAAAACAATGTTAATATTCCTACGGAAACGGTTCCAAAAAGAATCGATTCACTACGAAACTTACTTGCGTTATCGGCGATAAGACAAATAATTAAACAAAATGAAAACACACAAAGCTCACTCCTCGTCTCCTAGAACAAATAAGGAAATTCGGAAACTACTTAGTAACGAAGCGCCCAAGCTAAAACGCTTCTAAATACCGGGCGCTCAGCAACGTTTGGGTTCGTAGGAATAGTTTCATCACCAGAAAAGTTATTATAGAATACTCTCAGCTAAATTTCCAACGTGCCCAACGATTGTAGAGCTTTACTGCGTTCACAAGCTCCTGTAAAATCGTGTGTGCTGAATTTCAAGCAGATCTCGCACTGTCTCGGCCGTTTCACCTACAACATCTTCACGAACTGAGTCCACGCTGGAATTGGACTATCCATCTGCCAACACTGCTCTTGGATGGTGCTTGACTCACTGAAGCCGATGTATGCTTCGCTGGTAAATTAGTAGAATCCAGAAGCCTTTTCAGCCGGTCTCGTACTAGAAAGAGGAGGATTTGAGGACAAATAACAATTAGCAGATATTAATGAGATCCGTAAATCAACATTTAGTTAATAAAGGAAGCGAGTGGTCACTTTGATGAAAGTGGAAACGTCAAAATATGTGTGCAGGCGAAAGTAACAACCAGCTGTTCCTATAAATAGTTAAGTGCCGAATTTTTTGTCGCACTTACAAGCATTAAAACCATGTGCATTGATCGATCTAAATATAGAGAGTTCTTACAAAAAGCCTAACAGTTTAATACGGCACGCCATCGGCGCAAGTGTCAATGCCGTAGGCAGACGTATCAATAAACAATTCACGTTCCCAAAATCCATTCACGTACACGCCGAAAGCGAATTTGACAAATTCTCCGGCATCTCATTAACCACTCTACGACCGTGAACTTGTGGTGAAAATGGAACGTACGAAAAGGCCACCCACACCTAACACACTTATTTACATAACACTGCGCTTTATCAATCTTACACATCTTTCCGAATTTTACCTAGAGACACGCGTGGATTTCTAAAACCTTGAGAGTTTCGTTAATCCATTCAGGTGTTCGACCATTTGTTTATGAGAAATGGGACGTCTCATCTCCATTTGTTTAACCGAACAGGAGCCCCATTCATAAAAGTGTTCATAAAAATGAAATGTGCTTCATCCCGAGATACTATCGGGAGTTGGAAGCGAAAGGTGTGGGCGATAATGGGCTTTAATTAGCTATTTACCTTAACATTGTACTCACGTAGATTAATTAAATATCTGTGTCTGTTGCCAGAACCGAACACTTATTTTGAAAGAATATTCAGCAGGTGTACAGAAGTTTATTAAAAATAGATTTATTCGGCTAGTACTTTGAAGACATGTGTTCTTTTACGGCATGGCAAAACTAGTATTTCCGTATATGCACTTCACCACATTTCCTTATAATTAATTATGCTTAAAGGAGTGCTAATTTGCTACCTTCGCTATTAGGCAACAAGCAGATTGATGCCGTCTTAAATTTGCATTATTTAATAGTTTGAGAAAAGCTTACCAAGTAAAAGAGTGTACACAAATCAGCCACACTGTATTTCTCATGTAAGATACAGCTGATTGAACCATTTCCGTTAGTGTAATGAAACCGAATCCTGCGGAAAACCCTCATTCTCCCCACGAATCATTCCTTGGAGAAAGAAATGGAGTTAACTTCCAATGATTTTTTTCGTTCGTTTCGT